AAAAATCTCCATGTAGGTTTAAAAGTTGAAATACTCAAAAGGTAAAGAAATGTGATTTTCTACAGCTGACTATCTGCTGAGAGACAGAGTGTGCCGCAACTCCAGGGGCTGAAAAATAAGGCCAACGCAGCTAGTGCCAAAAATAATAGAGACTTAAACTTGAATCTAAAGGATTTTGAAAACTGTTGGAGAATAATGTTTGTTTGTAGACTCAGACATTAAAGCACTGAGCAGTAGGAGTTTGCAACTGGAAAGGTAATACAGAACAAGTAAATTCAACCTGTGTTTTAACCAAATAAAATAAGTTACTGAACACGGAAGATTACGCAGTGTATGTAAACTAGAACACAGGTGAGTTTATGTGCATTGACTGGACCATGTGACTTAGCATCGAGTTGAAGCATAACTTAAGCAAGATCTACTTGTTTGCAGACGACCCTGTGTTTTCTTTCTCAAACTCCTGTACACTACAACAATATTATCAACAAGTTACAGCTCAGACTGATACAAACAGCTGTATTTTTTACAGCCATTTTAATGTTTAAGACTTATGAGCTTAAAACAGAATCACTAACTTAAAACTGAAACTGTACAGTAAGTTCAACTCAGCAGTTTGTCTACAATGTGCCTATGACCACATGTAAAGCAGCTGAAAAAGCCAACCTCAATTTGTTAGATAAACACATGCTAATTCTTTAAAATAGTTACATTAAATCACTGTTTCCTCCTGGTGTGTTTACAATGGGCACATTTCATTTTAACTCACTTGCAAGAAACAAATCACTGACAGGAGAGCTAATAATACAAAAAAAACACAGCAAAAAATAAATGGCAAACACTTCATAAATGTGTCGATATGTAATTATAGTAGCACTCAAGGCAAGCAGCTCCTCTCGGTGGAGTCCGGTCATTTCCTCGGTCCGACACCAGATACTCGGTACGCTTTAATTAAAAGTGTCAGAGGCTCAGCAAAAAGGCCGGGATCAGGATTGGACTCAAACGCAGGAAAACTGCTAAGATTTGAGGTCGCACAGCTACAGACTGATTCTATAATTCAACTTAGCAAGATATGAACAAAAAAAAGAAATATGTTGACATGTGGGATAGTTTTAAGCGTCTGAGTGAGGGGTTTGGCTGGAAAACGACTACGACAGACCTAATTACACGGAGGGGACCGCTGAGAATTAGCGGGCTTTTCTGACAGTTGAAAATAAATAGGGCAGTTAATGAACGTCCTCAAAGGGGAGACTATGTTTCCTCGCTCTCGCCAGGCTCTCCCATGTGGAGCGGCAGCAGATATAATGGTTTTAGCTGACACCCGAGTAAGTGAATTTGGAGCCGAGGAGAACAGAGAGGCAAATTATAGTCACTTCCTCTTTCCTGTAGCCCCGGGCTGACATGACCGATATCAGTCAATAACGGGACCACAGGCGAGGGGCGGCTGAAGGGAGGCAGAGAGGTTTAGAGGGTCTACACACCTTTCAATTAAAAGCAACAGCTAAACTCAGGTTAAACCACTTCAGCAGCGCCTCAAACATTAAGAAATTAATCATTAATTAATTAATCCAATATTTGGTCAAGAGATGCCAAATATTTGCTGGTCTTCCAAGGATTATGTTTATGCCATGTCTAGGAGCTTTACTCATATAAATACAAGACAAGAGAACACATTTTACAAGAGTGAGAAAACCAAAAATACATCTCTTGCTATAGCAGAGGAACGGACATCACTATTCTCAGAAAGTTCATTTTAGACGACGAACATAAAACCAGGCCCCAGCTATAGTTAACTGAATATAGAATTATTATTATTATTATTTATGACATTCTTACTTTTATTGGCAAACATTTAAAGGTGGGGTATGTAATTTATTTCAGAAACACTTTTTGTTATATTCCATGGAATGCTCTTAACATCCCGATAGCAATGAATATATTAAATGCTTTGACAATAAATACATTAAAAAAAGTCATCTGTGGAAGCCGTGGTGCTGTAAAAAGCACGACCAATCATTTTATCCGGCCCGGCTAAAATAACTGGATGGCCTACCTGCCTGTCAGCCTTCCATCTGTGCACAAACTTATCTCGTGCCCTCATTGGTCATGTGAGCGTTCGTGTGTGTTGGAGGAGGGGCTCTGTAAGGAAGTCTGAGGGAAGTGGCAGATTTCTTCCGGTTGTGTACTTTCAAATTCTAGCGCACTCGAGCTGGTTTCTCCAAAATTACATACCCCACCTTTAACTGTTGTGTTTTTATTATTATAGAAAAACATGTAAAGTAATATGTTACTTTTCTTTACTCCAGGTTGTAAGGAATTATGGCTCAAGCTAATGGTGAGTTTTATTTTCGGCAAATCAAAAACCTAAAGACAATTTAGTACTCAAGTAAAAAAACTTAAATACATTTCCCAGAATGCAACTCAATAGTGTTGTTTATTAGACATTTCCTTATTATTATATTATTAAAAAGAGTAGTATTTCTTGTGACAGGCTCACAGGTTTTCAATGATAGACCAAACCATACACCTGTATGTCTCGCTCTAGGAAAATCTGCTTTTAATCTGCTGTGTAAGAAGTGCAACAAAAAAACACGACCACACTGCAAGGAGCTATTGTCAAATTACTACAGGTTATATTTGATATGGAGCACGTTATCACCTACATTTACTTACAGGTGACTAGATTAAAAGAAAACAGACAAGGCTGTCTCACTTTGCTCAAAATTGAAAGCATCTGACAAAGATCACACTTCATCTTTGTGTCAGTCCGTTGAGACTTAGCGACTTTTAAAACACATTTCCAGTGCAGAAAACCCTCCAGTTTGACGCACATCACACCTCGAAACATTGAGAGCACGCTGGTTTCTGCACTCAGCCGTCCACATTTGGAGAAAATTAAAACAAATGAAAACCAACACTTCATCTGTGATGTTATTGCTGGTAATGAAGCACTGCTGTGATGCTTTCAGAGTCCTCCCCCCACTTCCCCTCTCGTCACACACCTCTCCCGCCTCTCCAGAGACTTTTGCCTTAACAAAACACAGACGGGACGGCAGTGAACTACATACTGTGTTACAGCTCGTTCATCAATGTGCAGATGCTTGAGGTTTTTAACTGCACCGTAATGCAAGAACAGCTCAATAATTAGCATGGATGTTGTACTGAAACACACTGGTTATTCTTACTCGTGCCGGGGGACTCGTTGTTTGTCTTAACACCCCATTTGCTTCTCGTAGACAGCCGTGCAATGATAGGAAACCCTAAGTGGAGTTGTAGACGTGTTTAAAAAAGTAAAAAGGTACACTGGAGTGGTGCTACTGAGGATATGATGTCACAGGCCAGACTAGGAAAGGAAACGGCATTGAATAAACTCGATATAGACAAGGAAAAAAAGGTTATGGCACAACTGAAAGCTGCTAAAGTCAAGAATGAGCAATTCATTATGTGATGTCTGAGTCAAAAGGAAATGCCCATAAAAGAATAATCCAGAAAAGGTGTGATTTAAATTCATAGAGGAACCATTAAGCCATTAAAATGTGGCTAATAATAAATAATAATTTTGAGGTTTTGAGAAACTTCAGCCAAAATGGATCACATTTAAATCACGTGATGGCATGTTGTTATTGTTTTTAAATGGAGACCACATTTAGCTTCGACTTTAGTTTATGATTTCCTCCATTTCCCAGAATACCCTTCCCCTTAGGAATTAGGTTTAACAGTGTTTTCTTTTATCTGCTTTCTACTGTAGGAAGAAAAATAACTTTTCTGATTCTGAGAAAACTCACACCAAAGCTGACAGAAACTGATTTAAGTCTCTGAAAACACTTCCTGCTGTCCGACTAAAAGCAGACCCTAAAATGTAACTTTGCTGCTGCTGGCCAACTTTACATAATAAAAACCAAGAAACATGTGAATGGAGTTCCCACCCAACCCCAGCTGGGCGCAGGTGCAGGGCAGAAAACACACACTCAGCAAAAGGAAAGGCGGGCCAGTTTTTTAAAGAGCAGAGTTTCATTTTGTGTGGTTTTCTTCAACAGAAGGGCCGCACCCAGAATGCACCAGTGATGATTTCTGGGTACATAACTGACCATAACTGATTACACTCACCACCAGCAGCAGCTATTAACACATTCTTTGTTTGATAGCAGAATTGCTGGTACATGACCACCAGATAACTTGATTTTCCTCTCTTGTAAAAAACACCCAGCCATGCAGGAAAGTTGCCTGCAATACATTCTAAGATAATCAATGTTTCCTGATTTATAGCAGCAATCATCTGATATGGGAAAAGAAATTCAAGACCAATGATAAATGTCAGATCTTCATACTTCCTAGCTTTCTATGATCAATACACAACGTGCGCTACAGGTTAATAAAGTTTGAATAGAAACCTCATGAAAAGGATATAATGTTGATGCAGTAACATTCAATAGATTTCATATATATTAAATATATAAAATCCATAATCTCCCACTTTAGAGATAACTCTGTTTTCATATATACAAGCTTTAAATCTACTAAGTAATTAAAGCTGACAGATAGATATTTGTACAATATGTGTCTCTGACTGGAGTAGAACTATACAATTGCATACAATGGAAATACTCTAGTAAAATGCAATAAACCCTACTTCAAATGTGTACTTAAGCCAATATGCTTGATTACATCACAACAATGTTGCTGTGAGCTGTTTTGTATTTAATAAAAGCTGAAATGGTGCTTTACAGACAGGCAAAGTCACTACGACAGATAACATTTGTTTAATTAAAATACAACTACATGACCTTCACTCGGTTTGAACGAGGAGGCAAGCATCGCAATAACGAGTTTAAAATAATCTCAATTAACTTTTCTATTAAGATAAATTGTTAACAAATAGAAACTGACTGAAACTGTGTCCCAGCAGTCAATGTGAAAACAGGAGCCATAGTAACGGTTCAGTTTGCGTGACAACAAAAGCTGATGTAAAATAAGTGTCGGGTAAACAACACATTATCTCATACCTTGTTTCCCGAGCATGCTGCAGAGCAGAGGAGTCTTTTAGAAGAGTTAAACTTGTGAATTAATCCGAAGAGATGCTTCATATTAGTCCTCACGGGGAGCGCCATCTTGGATAGTGACCTCACAGTACGGTGGCTTTGAAAGGACAAAAGGGAGAGAACAGTGTGTTTTCATTTCATTCACATTTAGGATAAATTGATCTTAACATGAAATGCTCAGCCCACGTCATAATAGGGTTGTTTGTTTTTATATATAATAGAGTGATAAAGAAATACATTTATGTTTATTTAAGTATCTATTAAATGTGCATTTATCATCTGAAAACACATTTTTCAAATGTTTTTATTTTATGTACCACTTTATTATGAACATCTATGATATGCTTGTATATTTTTTTAAACAGCTTTCAATTCAATTATATTGTTTTGCACCAACAAAAGCTTTAAAAAGTACTATATTAAAAAAAATTGTAAAATGGACTGTACTTATATAGCGCTTTATCCAGTCTCTAAGACCCCTCAAAGCGCTTTACATGCTACATGTAATTCACTCATTCACACCCATTCATACAGAGCAGTGTACCTTACTCTAGGACCTAACATTCACACACATTCACACACATTCACACACTGTTGGCCATCGGGAGCAACTCAGGGGTTAAGTATCTTGCCCAAGGATACATCGACATGTTGACTGCATGGGCTGGGATCAAACCCACAACCTTCTGGTTGACAGACGACCGCACTCCCTCGCAGCCACAGTCGCCCTATTAGCAGCAAAAATGTAGTTTGGCAAAGGCACTGTATCGTGTTGCATAAAGCAAAGTTCCAATAGTTACACCCACAACAACTTAGCATTAATAAAATGGAAGTTTAGTCACAATAAAAGGGGAAAATAAAGATATTGCAGACAGTTGCTTATATTCTTGCAGGAAATATTGTGGCCAACCCCTCCAACCCAGGACCAAGACTTTCTTCCCTTCTGCAACGTGTCTAATAAACAAGGCCAGGGACCCCCACTGACACAGACCCCCCCTCCCTCCATACAAACTATACATGTTACATTAACAACATCTGTCTATATGCAGTAGATTAAGACACATCTTTGGGACCATACACCTGAACATTGGATGTTTCTACTCAAGATTCAAGGCTTTTATTGTCATTTGTACAATGCTACAGTGTAGATATGTCAATGAAAAACTTATATTAACACAATAAAACATATAAAATAGTGCAAGTAAATTCAGACAATTTTGCATATTTCTGCACAGCCTACCCACAACTGAGCAGCTATTTAATATCCCTTAGATAATAAACATATTTTTATATTGTCAAAGTTTGGATAGATTTTTTTCTATACATTATTTATTTAGTTGCAATTTTTTTTACAATATTTAAATATTTTATTGTCATTTTCTTCCAATTTATATTTCAGTTTCTTGATTTGTTGTTATTATATATTTGTCATGTTCTCTTACTGTGATTAGGTCATGCTTCATAACACCAAAGCAAAATCCTAGTATGTCAAAACCTGCTTGCCGATATTTCCAAATATGATTCATGTACCAAACCTTGCCACCCAGGACTTCCTCCTCTCTGAACCGAACACCAGCTGCACTGTTCGGTCGGTCTGAGCTCAGTGCAGCCTATGGAAGAGGACGATGTGTAATTACACTCTCCCAGCACCACATGTACAGTAACAGTAGGCTATAGAAATGTGTCATACATGTGTTTCCTTATTGTCTGAGGTCTGTATGTTAATTGGGTGGTGTTGTGTCTAGGCCTGGCTGCTTCCTCAACAACTCAGCTTTCCCAGGGAGGCAGCTGCAGGAATATTCCATACATGCCTCATTACAGAGTGGCGATATACATACTATAAGTGATTATTCTGCACGCTGGCTAGGGTTACAATATGTTTGCAGGGCACGCTGGCCGCTCCTTAAAGACCTCTTGTTTCTCCAACATCTGCTCCTGATTTTTTCCACTCCACCTTTTGCATCTGGTTGCATTTGCAGCACAAAATACTGACTATCATTCCATATTCATTATTATTTCCCGAGGCGCTGGGGCAGAGCTCTTTGGTGTTTCTCTTGTAGAGACCTGAGCTGCTCTGTTCTCTCACGCCTGGGTGATGGGAGATGGGTCTGTATGCCTGCTGGTGTGTGTGCGTGCGTGCGTGCGTGCGTGTGTGTGTGTGCGTGCGTGCGTCAGCCTTCAGCTCCCGTTTCCTGTGGCCACCCAGTAGAGGTTGGTCCTCCTGCTCTTCTTTTTTCTGCTGCCTCCTCCACCTCTTAGGCTAAGAGAAATTCCTCTCCTTAAATCCAGAGAAGTATTTTACATTTCTCAATTTTGTTTGTGTGAATCTCATGGAAATATATCTAGCACCAGAGCTAAGTGTTCCTAATGAAAAGATCAATTCATACTGAGGTCACCAATATGATATGAAAGCGCACAGTGCATGATGGTGTAAGGTACTTTTTCATTAAGTCAGCCATTGGCATGCAAACATGTCGGTTTGAAATGCAGTTCAATTGTTGATCTAATGTAGTAACAGATTCATATAATTAAATAACCTGTTATAAACTGTGTCAAAGAAATACATTTTGACAGTGTTGTTTTGTTTCCCATTGTAAAGCGTCCTTGGGTCTCTTGAAAGGCGCTATAAAAATTGAAATTATTATTATTATTATTATTATTATCTGTGAGATTGTAACTTTAAGTTGTTGTCGGGACTTCAATTATGATTCAATGTTCTGACTCGTAATCACTTTTTTAAATTATTGACACCTTCTGCAGCATGACGTATCTGTCACAATAGCCTACCTGTTTTTAGAGAAAGTAAAATATTAGTAAGACTTTTTCAGTCTCTGTTTCACTGGGAATTAAAGTGTGAAAAAGTGTCCATCACTCAGTTTGAAGCAGCAGCAGAAACAGAAGCTCAGCGGTGAGATCTCCAGAGGAGCGAGAGGCCGTTCAGGTGATGAGTGAAGACGTTCTGCTTTCATCACAAAGCCGCTCTCCTTTCACCATCATGGAGATTCATTTTTCATCCTCACCAGACTCTCTGCACCTCCTGCACCTCCTCCTCTTCCACCCAAACTCACATCTTAACTCCTTTTCTCAACACCTTCTGGTTATTTGTCTCCATTGTCTGCATACGCTTTTTTATTCATGTCACACTCTTGTACATGCTACAAGTACAGTTTCTACCTTCATTTTGGGCAATTTTATACTTATTTTCAGAGGCAAATATTATATTTTTATACCAATACATTCATTTATTAAATTATTTTAGATTCATATTATTAAGGAAAAGTTCACAAGTTACCTAGAGATAAAGTATACTAAGCAGTTGCAATAAGCTCCACCTGTACCTGCTGCAACATTAGCACATTAGCACATCAATAGGTAATGTGAATATATAATACTGAATATTATTCTGCCATTATTTGCCGTTGTGAATGAGCGCTTCACAAGTTTGGTACTTTGAGTATATTTCTCTATTATTTTAGGCAATTCAATGTTTTTGATTGATACTTAAAACTTTTGGATGCAAGACTTTTACTGTATTGTAATAGAGTATTTTTCCAATGTGGTTTTAGTACTTTTACATAGTTAATTACTACATCAGAGTACTTTTGTATTCATTTCTTACTCGTCTTCTGGTGCCAAATATTTTTCTCATTGTATAATTTTTGTTATCAGACCAAGCATAACACATCTAATTGTGTAAGTGTTCACATTCATAGACACTCTAATATAAACTGTATATATGCATACATGTAATAAAATAAATATACACAACCCTTTTTCAACACACACATTTCGCTACTTTTTCTCACACACATGCTAACCCCGAGTTTGAGGAGAGATGCTGGTAGCAAAGTCCAGCTGGTGGCGGCCGACACTCCACCTGTCATAATACAGCCAGGCAAGGCATGATGGGAAGGTCTGCTGAGTGAGGGGGGTGTGTGTGTGACTGTGTGTGTGACTGTGTGTGTGACTGTGTGTGTGTGTGTGTGTGTGTGTGTGTGTGTGTGTGTGTGTGTGTGTGTGTGTGTGTGTGTGTGTGTGTGTGTGTGTGTGTGTGTGTGTGTGTGTGTGTGTGTGTGTGTGTGTGTGTGTGTTCTGGACCCTGATGCTGAAAGACAGGATCTCCCCTCTGACACTGCAGGACGTCCACCACCACCCAAGTGGACGGATGGACGGACAGCGAGCAGAATGACGGACAGCTCCACAAACAGAGCATGTGTTGGCGGAGTAAGACGGACAAATGGAGTGATGGATGAATATAAACTAAAGTACAGATGCACAAACAAAAGAATAAATGTCTCGATGGATTGATGCAACGTCTTTCAATGAGTCAAACTTTATTTATGGAGCAGTTTTCATATGCAAAAGGTAACATGAAGTGCTTTACACTTTTAACATTTAAAAAACTATAAATACCAATACCTCCTCCAAATCCATAGACGGAGCAACACATAACTTTACGATTAATTAAAACACTTAATACCAACAGAACTCAACATACACAGGACTGAATAAAACTAGAATAAATACAGTTAACTTAAAAGACAAATTATGAAGTTAGGACTTGAGTGAAAAGTATGAACTTCAACAAATTAGTCGATCGCTGCAAGGATAGAGATAAGTCAAAGGAAATGAAAAAGAAATCAGATTCTGTGCAGAAATTGTATCTGTGATTGAATTGTCGAGCGACCGCACACAGTCTGCAGCGCCCCCCCCCCCCCCCCCCCCCCCCCCCCCCCCCCCCCGGCCTGCTGTTCTTAGAGTCAAGCACAATAAACATTCAGTAAAGTATTTTGTGTAAAGCAATGTTTGCATCCCCAGAGAAGAATCTAGATTGCATTACTAAGTTGTGTAACTGTGAGACAAAGTGTGCGTTTGACATGCCATCTCATTTGTGTCTGAATATGCATGTGTTGTTTAGTTTGTGTAATGTACGGCTTAGTCAATATAACATTATATACAGTAGGATAGTAGAGGATCGTATAGATTTTGCTGAGGTCTTCATAAAACCCTTTAATATTACTGCTCGTTTAGGCGTTAACATATTCTCCATGATCGCTTCCTTCATCCGTGTGATTTTTGTATCCAACAAGGATTTCT